ATTTTCACAGACGGATCCAATGACGATGGCCAAGTTGCCAGTGCTACAGTCATTGGATCCAAGACCGTCTCCTCTAGGATTCCGGACAACAGTTCCATTTCACCGCTGAGGCCAAAGCTATCTTCTCAGCTTTGACCTACATTAAACAGCAGAATCATTCCAAAAACTTCATCGTTTTAAGAGATTCATTATCATGCTTTCAAGCAATTCAAAATGTTACTTCAAGTCGCCCAATCATCCTTGACATTTTAGAACTTTACAACGACCTTTCTACTGGCCAGTGTGACATCGTCCTCTGCTGATTGCAGATAGCAGGTAACACAAAGGCCGATGCTGCAGCTAAAGCAGCTCTTGACAAGCCCTTATCTCCACTGCTAATCCCGTACAGTGATTTCAAACCAACTATCAAAAGTTATACTCGGGACCTCATGCAAAAAAAGGTGGGACACTCAAGTAGGAAGAAACAAACTCCATGCATTGAAGCCAACAATTGGTTATACCTACTTGGGTTGTCAGTCAAGACGTGATGAGGTAAATTTACGACGATGTCGTATTGGCCACTGAAAACGGATGGGGATGGACTCCCCATATGTGTCTCTTGCGATAAAGTTTTCACCATCAAGCATATTCTGCTTGACTGTGTGGACTTATCATCTGCAAGGGACTCACATTATGATGCAACAAATTTGAAAGATCTGTTCTCCAGCATGAGCGCTCATCTGATAGTGAACTACCTGAGGGAAGTTGATCTGTATCATAAATTGTAACTGTGAAATGTGACTAACGAAGTGCCTGCTTTTAAATTTAGTGCTATGATATTCTCTGTTTTTGTATGTAATGAATATATGTTTTTGAATAAAACTAATTTTGACTTTGTACTTACAATGTGTATTAATGCAGCCTCATTCGCGTCACTATATGGCTGGAATAATGCCGACGTGACGTAAAGCCCAACTCAGCTCAACTCAACTTTAGTTACCGCCATGTTTGATGTATGTATATATATCAACATTCAACGTGACAATTGAGGTTGTGGTGAATCGTGGTTGTAATACTTGTAGTTGTTGTATATATGGGTAGTGGCTGCTTGTGGTGGGTAAGAGTAGAGAGGTGGCCTCGACCATAGTGACTTGGATTATATGAATAAAGAGTATGATATAGAGTCGGTTTGGGGGAGATTTTAGAGGCACTTTTTTCAATTATGTAGGGTAATAGTGGATGTGGAGATATATTTTTAGTACAGTGACGTAAAGCCCAACTCAACTCAACTATCCAATGAAACAGCAACTCAATTAAACGCACTCTGTTTTTGCTGGACACCTCTGGTTATTCAAATAGAGAATAAATGCAAAAATACATGTGCTGTAATGATTTAGATGTTTTGGAAATATGAAAAATATGACAGCCTAGATGATATCAGAAAATGTCGAAAAAACATTGCATTAACTAAATATGTTTTTCACAACTGGACATGGCGGCATAACCACTTTGTTAGTAGTTTTATTACTTCAGTCTAATGCGTAACGTTACTGGCAGTGGTAGTTTTAAATTGCGTAAAATTCATAGATAATCTCTATAGATTTTGTTACTAATCTCTTAACCACCCCCCCCTATACATATATAGAACATTATTGAGATATATATATTTTATATATGCGTCATTATCAAAATTCGTGCATATTTATCTTATATGTTTGTACCCGACAAATCAATATTTTTTTATGGTAACTAATTTATCTCAGTTTATTCTACACTTTACAAAAACAAAATTGGGAACAAAATTTTTTATATTTATTTTAAACCACCCAAACCACCCAATTTTAACTCAGTTGGCATGTGTCACAACTCCAGTGGCCGATCATTCTCTTCCCACAGAGGTTACTTGTCATTTCTTCGTAGGAAGAAATGACAAGTAACCTCTGTGTGAAGAGAATGTTTATCACGGGATCCAATCTCCCTCTACACCGCCTTGGTGGAACGAGGAAGTAACGGTAAGTGGGCGTGCTGGCGATATTTGCCAGATTTCACGTACAGTACAATTCTAACAATGACCAGGTATAGCGATATCATTACTCCGTGATTGATGGACAAGGTGTGGAGAAATACGGTGGTAATAGTGTACTAATTCGGCCATGGTGTTATGTTTCCTGTGTGTGGTAATTCAGCCATGATGTTATGTTTCCTGTGTGTGACCTCCCCACTACTGTGTTGACGTATCTACTTTCGTTATGTACAGGGACCCGACTACCCTGACGTCAGTGTAGCGGTAGGTCCACACACCTACTTGTGTGAGATCTCAAACAAGTTGGTGTGTGGACCTACCGATACACTGACGTCAGTTAATTACTATGTCTATCATATCTACACATAACACAGTATTGAGACAGTATGCGTGTATAATGTCAAGTGACACTGCATTTGTTGGGCAATCTCTTACAGCCTACTTTCGTTATCGACATGAGTTATGCAATCTTTGTCAGTACATTATACAGGCGACAATAAACGTAATTGCACCCGTATACCGCGACTCTGGTGATACGAAAGGCCTTTATTAGAAACTAACTAAAGACAAAGTATATCATTAAAAGTAAACGTATCAAAGTCTACATTTTGGAAAAAAATTAGACTAATGCTTAGTCTCTGAATAGATTTAATTTTGATAGTAACAAACAAACCTATTATAAATTGAAAAGGAGCCCCAGGGAGACCAGAGATTCAGAACCTGGGGAAATCTAGACTTGCTTCAATTAGGGCTTTAGCACTGCAGGGGAGGCTAGGCTGTAGGGAAAATAATGTGGTTCAGGGTCTGTGAGACAGACTAGAAAAAATATATGTCAAATTAGTTTCAAAAGTCGTACATTGGGAGGAAATGACTGAGAGATAAATGAACGTAAGCAATGACAGAAGTATATGTGCTTTATCGTGTTGTATACTTGACACGTGAACACTGACCCCCTCGTGTCTTCTCGGAGGGTGTATTTACGTCGTGTTGTGTGTCGTTGCTGACCAGTAGCGGTTTATTATGGGGCTCAACCTCACCCTTCACCGACTGGCTGGAACGAGGAAATGAAGTTGAGTAAACGTGCAGGCGGTATTTGCCAGACTTCACGTACACTACAATTCTAATAATGACCAGGTATAGCGACGTAATTACGCGGTGATCAAACGATAAGGGGTGAAGAAATACGGTGATAATTGTCTTAGAATTCGAGCCTTTCCCGCTATGCTCCGTGGTCTACTTTCACTATGTACGGGTATATCGTTATGTACAGCCTAATCTCAGGTGACTCGGTCTGTGGACAAAACGGTACATTGACTCAAGATAGAAAACTATTAGGGCTGTCATTTCTACATTTAATAAAATATTTAGACAGTAAATATTCATAGCTGGAGTCGCGTTTGTAGGCACAAGCAGCTGACACCAGCCAAGCTACTTTCGTTATGCAAATGAGCGCTGATATCGAAGTCAGCGCTTTATGTGCCAAGTGCACGAGTCATTGTTGCTTCTTGGTGTATAGTGCGTTTGGCTCAAAAGCAGACCGATGAATTGCAATCTAACTAAAAAACTAATAAACATATAATACTCAATGAAACGCTGATCATAATCAAAACATCAGACCAACTCTGTGATTTGTTTGCAGAATTTATGTCCTAAAATTAAAAAGTTGTTTTACAAACTATCATTAATATATTGACACAGTTCACTTTTTGTTACGAGGGAGGAGTGCAGAGACAGGGACAGCCAGGTGTTAGAGAAGCACGTGCACAAGTGCCGACAAAGTTATTGATTCATTAACCTGTGCTGTGCCGTCTCCTTCTTTTCTCGCACACACAGCTGTCCCTTTCTCTGCACTACTCCCTCGTAACAAATAGTGAACTGTGTCGATATTTGTGTGTGTAGTCGTCTTCATTAACGTTTTGCGTCAAACGTAAGCTGGACGTCCATGTAGTTGGCGGAAGCAGTGTGATTGTTTGGACACCAAGTTTACACAATGGCAGAAACAAATGTGTCTCATCTTCATCACTTCATCACAGTGCCGAGATCACGCAAGCTGAAGACCAAACCTGTCAACCATCCAAGGACTCTCTGTGTACAACATTGCTTAACTTTGACTGATTAGTGACCTGGGGTATATGCACAAGACGACACCCCAACAGGCTGTTCTTGTCTCCCAGGGTGGGTAACAAAATATTGATTGGAGAAGACCTTGATCTTAGAATTTTCAGTCTTTCTCCAGAACACATACACACACACACACGTGCACGCACGCACGCACGCACGCTCTCACGCACGAACGCACATACATCTGTGAGGCTCGTCGGCTGTGGTTGCGCTGGTATGTTCAGAAATTTGAAATGAACACTTACTATCGTCTATATATAAGAGAGAATACTAAATGGTGTCCCGTATAATACCTTATTCATTTTTAAATATTCATTTATTACCCATCCAACATTAGCACAATAATATATCAGAATTCAACTTACAGAACGAGTGCATTACGCCGTCATAACAGGGTCACGCGTATAAATACATTTCATTTACGATTGTCAACAATTTGATTTTTTAAGATGAACAAGGGGTTATGAAAAGGGTTCAAATAACTTCAACCAACATGTATAAATGCTATTACACACAACCGTTACTTTGGCCATATTGCCCTAGTGCAAATAGTCCCGGCAGCATGCAATGCGTAATAACATTTAGATTTAATGTATCTTCCGTTTGCAGATGGCGACGACTCAGAAACTGCAGGAACATTTCCTCACATGCACCATATGTACGGAAGTATTTGACAATCCATGCACCCTTGTCTGTTATCACACATTCTGTCGGAAATGTGTCGTCAACTACACTAAAACCAAACCGGAAGCCATCAGTGCCAAGTCTCTGCTGTGTCCTTTCTGCAGCAAGATGACGAAAGTGACCTCCCCTGAGAGACCAATAGATGAGTGGGCGGATGAGGTCAAGCTGAGCTTTGTCATCCAGGGACTGCTAGACTCATTTGGCCCCGGATGTAAAGGTAAGGATCAATGGTAAACTGGTACTGCAATGCACTATGGTCTATTGGATGTGTCTTGCACCACACTCAAAGAAAGGAAGGATAGACACGTGTAAAATCTGTTAAATATTCGTCTGTGGTCGTCGTATAAAGTTTGTAGCCGTCCCATATTCGACTCTTAACCTTTGCGAAGGCAACACACTCCCCTTACCCAATGCGAAAATGACTGAACCAAATCTACATGTAATTGCAAATACATTCATTATTTACTGATACAAATTTCAATTTGTACCCCACAATACTCATGAATGTAGTGGTTCTGCATAGCTGTTTTCCAAATATCTTGGTTGAAGTTAAAAGGTAGGGTAGTTAGGGTTCAAGTGATACCTCATTTTCATTATGTCAAACTTGTCATTCAAGTTCCCGAAATCTGAAGTCAGCCTTGCAGATATCTGTTGTGAGGTAGCTTACACTAAAATTACTAGTAACAACAATTCATAAACCACAAAAAAAATTGCAGTTGCGTATACAGATAGAGTGAGTGAGTTTAGTTTTATGCCGCCTTTGGCAATATTACAGCAATATCACGGCGGGGAAACCAGAAATAGGGTGTCAGACATTGTGCCCATCTGGGAAATCGAACCCGGATTTTCGGCGTGACGATCGAACGCTTTGACTACAAGGCTAGCCTACCGCCCTTAAATAGCTAGACGTGAGAATAAACACTCGATATTACGATGCTGAATGCTTTTCATTCAACCTTGTTTTTTTTTGTCCAGATACAAAGAACTGCACGTGCTGTCACAGCGAAGGGGAAACAACTCCAGCGACTGTGTGGTGCTCGGTATGCGATGACGCCTTGTGTGATGTATGTGCTAGGGTGCACAGTCGCATCTCATCAACTCGTCATCACGATACAACCGCCCTGACTAGTGAGGCCATTATCCCAAGGAAACGAAACATTAAGTGTAAAGAACACAAGGATGAAAACATCAAATTCCTGTGCAAAGATTGCAAGAAAGTCACCTGTCACACCTGTTGTGTTATCTATCACAGGAAATGTGAGTCAGTTGTCACACTGGAGTCGGAATTACCTGCATTAAAGCCCCAGCTGTTGAATAAGAAGGAAACTATTTCGAAGAAGCAAATCCAAATGGAAACAAACGTTGATGCAGTTAAAGTGAACGTCGTATCTGAAAAAGATCGATATGCAAGAATGGAACATGACATCAAGTCTTTTGCTAACAACGCGAGAGAAAAGATAACTCTCATGGAAAATAAACTTCTAGATGAACTGAAAGAAGTTTCTGAAAAGCATATTGAACAACTCACAGCCGACCTAAAGTCGGGTAAAATGTCAGTACAGATGTACCGACAACAGACTGAGCTGATAGACCGGATTCTACAATCTGAGTGTGACATGGACGTGTATGAGATGTATCAGGGATGTGAGGCCGGTGATGTGGATGCTGTCGGAGACGTAGACTTGAAGAAGAGAATAGCCAAGATCATGTTGAGACAGAACGAAGCCATGCTGAGTAGAGCTCTGGACGATCTACAGCTGGGTGAGATAGATGTCCAGTATGACGGTATGGTGAACTTGGAGGCAACACCTGTATCTCAAGACACCAGTAACATGCTGGACCTGAAGGCTGCTCCTGTGTTACAGGACACCATTAACGTTAAGGTAGCTGGAGGCGAGAATAAGGTATACCCTTTTGACTTAACAGTATTGCCGGTGAATGGTACAGACACAGTGGTTATAACAGACTACAACAACAACAACAGTGTGACGTCCTTGTACACTAGGAACAAACAACGACATCACAGCAAGCTCCAACTGGGAAGTAGACCGTGGGGTATAACAAGGCTGAAACACAACCAGGTGGCTGTCACTGTGCCGCATAGGAGGCAGGTTGTAACAGTTGAAGTGAACCCTGACCTGGTGCTGCTGTCGACCATCACAACCAGCAAACAGTACTTGGGTATAACGTCTCTGACACCATCAACATTAGCAGCAGGTTCTGATAAATGTGTGGATATTCTGGACATGAGAGGAAACGTCCTGAAGTCAATTAAACCTATAGATAGTGGAAAGGAAATCATACAATCTCCTTCCTTTCTTTGTACAACAGGAACACGAAACATCCTTGTGTCGGATGACAGTTCCAGGCGTGTCTTGTGCCTGACAGCTGAAGGGGACGTTGTGTTCACCTACCCTACACCAGGACACACAACACTAAGATATCCACGTGGTATCACAAGTGCCAGCACAGGTGACATCCTGGTTACTGACTACGGTGAACACACTGTTGCTCATCTGACTGAGTCGGGACAGTTTGTCAGAAACATACCACTAAAGATGATGGTGTCTCGTACCCGCACGGAGTTTGTGTAGATGGACGTGGCCGTGTTTATATTGGTAATTACCGTTCAGGTGAAATCAAAGTATTTAGTTTCAGTAACACAAAATAGACCTTTGATTCTTTATCAAGTGACCATTGCATCTGTAAATATTACAATTAACTACATTTACAACGACCTCCTGACTGCAGATTGACGGAGCTGGTGTTGATAAATCATCACATGTAATGTACTGTGTGACTGAGTATATCTAATATATAGTGTGAATGAGTATTTCTGACTGAATAGTGTGAATGAGTATATCTAAGGTATAGCGTGACTAAGTATATTTAATATACTGTGTGACTAAGTATATCTATCTAATATACTGTCTGTCTGAGTATATCTAATGTACAATGTGACTGAGTATATCTAATATACTGTGTGTCTGAGTATATTTAATGTACTGTGTGACTGAGTATATCTAATGTAGAGTGTGAATGAGCATATCTAATATACTGTGTGTCTGAGTATATCTAGTATACAGTGTGACTGAGTATATCTAATATACTGTGTGACTGAGTATATCTAATGTACAATGTGACTGAGTATATCTAATGTACTGTGTGACTGAGGAGTCTATTCTATAACCGAGAATATATGATATATTTTGAGACTGGGAAAACTGATATTTAGTGCCAGTTAGTATCACTTGAATGCCCATTGAACTTCTTGTACCGTATACAAATCAGAATAAGTTTTATTGTGGTGTATTAGTATATGTAGCAGGACTGAATCAATGAAGACACACTTACTGGTATCGGTGTATATTATTTTTGGCTTAAACTTAGAATGCAAAGCATAATGTGTACATGGGCTACTACACTATTTGTGAAATTACTAACATTTCTAAATTAATCCATTTGTATATTAGGTTCATCAAAATGGACTGATATTCTGCCATTGTGAACAGTTCCACGTATGTGACATTTGCTTCGGTGCTAATCACCTTTACCTCAACTTTTCTCCAGCAGTAACAGAGACTTCTGTGTGTGTGGAGATGAATTTACAAGGTTTGTGTTCCGTGTGATATGATTTACTACTTCTCGATCAACGCGTTTCCAATTACATGTACTACATCAACACGTTTCCAATAAACGAGATCAAGTACTTCCTGTAAAACGACTATTCTCAATAGCCTGTCAAAGGCACTCCTATGTTCACAGGGTGTGTCTGCGAGTAGTTACATAGTAAAACTTGTTTCCATGTTTATAATTATAGTCAAGCAGTGTTTTGTATCTATTGTCAGGGTTCGGGGGCTGAAATTGTGTTCCCTATAACCGTTTGCTGTAGGGTTAACGGATGACAGTGTCATCAGGGTCACGTGTATCCCTGTGATCTTGGTATGGGAGTACGTTGTGCAGAGCTGTGTTTATTAGGAGCCGTAAAACCCGGTTCGGTCTGGTTATCCTCAAGATTCAAGATTCAGTAACATACTAATCTTTGTATAGCGCCAATATCCAGCTGAGCTGCTCAAAAACATTTTGTTTTTCCCTTGATCATTGGATGTCAATCTCAATGGCACATCGTATTTTTCAATCTCAACTCCCTGGGGAACATACAACTTTTGCAGCCATTTAGGCGCAGTGTAGACATTACTTGACTATGATAAAGGGACAGTATGACTTAACCTCTATCCACCGACTATCCATGTGTTAGAGGGACAGTGTGACGTTGCAACTGTGAAATGAACATTACATTTAACCTCTATCCACCGACTATCCATGTGTTAGAGGGACAGTGTGACGTTGCAACTGTGAAATGAACATTACATTTAACCTCTATCCACCGACTATCCATGTGTTAGAGGAACAGTGTGACGTTGCAACTGTGAGGTGAACATTACATTTAACCTCTATCCACCGACTATCCATGTGTTAGAGGAACAGTGTGACGTTGCAACTGTGAGGTGAACATTACATTTAACCTCTATCCACCGACTATCCATGTGTTAGAGGGACAGTGTGACGTTGCAACTGTGAGGTGAACATTACATTTAACCTCTATCCACCGACTATCCATGTGTTAGAGGAACAGTGTGACGTTGCAACTGTGAGGTGAACATTACATTTAACCTCTATCCATCGACTATCCGTGTGTTAGAGGGACAGTATGACTTAACCTCTATCCACCGACTATCCATGTGTTAGAGGGACAGTGTGACGTTGCAACTGTGAAGTGAACACTACATTTAACCTCTATCCATCGACTATCCATGTGTTAAAGGGACAGTGTGACGTTGCAAGGGCGAAGTGAACATTACATTTAACCTCTATCCATCGACTATCCATGTGTTAAAGGGACAGTGTGACGTTGCAACTGTGAAGTGAACATTACATTTAACCTCTATCCATCGACTATCCATGTGTTAGAGGGACAGTGTGACGTTGCAATTGTGAAGTGAACATTACATTTAACATCTATCCGCCAACTATCCATGTGTTAGAGGGACAGTTTGACGTTGCAAGTGCGAAGTGAACATTACATTTAACCTCTATCCATCCACTGTCCATGTGTCAGAGATGCTATGTGACTGGACCAGATAACCCAGTGACTGACATTGTGAGCACCGCACCAGGCCGCTCCAGAACACCTGGTCCGTTAATCGCCTCATCACAAATTATGTTGCTGGGTTGCTGATATAAGTCCCCATGTGTCCTTACAAATTGACTGCAATTTAAAAGATATGTGTATGGCACCGTCGAAGGTATATTTTGACTGAGCAAATAAATGACCAAATTTACCAAACGTATCACTGGCCTTCTGCTATTTGTCATCCACGGCCATACAGAAGGAACAGTTGTTGCATGTTGTTTCAATCATGATCAATACAACTGTTTTCGGTATGCCTGAAATGTATTTTCATGGGCTCAAAGCAGTTCAACCTTGATTTTAGACCTGTCAACCACTCAACCAACCATTTAACCCAACAATCACTCAGTCAACCATCCAACTACTTAACCACTCAACCACCCACACACTGACTCAACCAACCACTCCCTCAACCATCCAACCACTCAACCACCAAAACACTAACTCAACCAGCCAGGAACTCGGCCACCCAACAACTCAACCATATCAACCGCTCGGCAAGAGACAAGACTTCAAAACTTCCTTTCAAAAGTGATTTTCCTTGTCGCTAACTTTGCATAGATCTTATACAGGTCACATGTTTCGATTCAACAGTCAACTAAAATACTGACCGGAAAGAGAGTTAACATGGACCCACAATCAAACCTAGGTTCTAGTTTCATTGAGCCTGGTCTTCATATTAGTCCAGTTGCCTGGTTTCCAGTGAATGTTTCGTTAAGATGTGTTTCCTGCCCATAACTATGGAGACGTGTCCGTGAGACACCACATGTGTCCACGGTTCTATTTAAGAAAGCAGGTGATAAGACGAATTGCTGCAGTCTTTAAAGGAAAGTGTAATTTGATTTTAGAATGTGTTGGAAAATAGGTCTATGGAATTAATTCTAAGAGAATGGTGATACAGTTCAGTGGGTAATGGTGTATGGAAGGGACTTGGCGGGGACAGAATGTGGGGAGAGTCAAATAACCAAGACATGAAAGGGGAAATGAACATTGATTACATGTAACAATGTGGATGTGTCAAGAATTGCAAAGCTAACCCTCGACCAAGTGTTTTGAATTCTGTGGAGATCTCTTCTTTGAGTGGCATTTCTGAAGGTGGGAAGTACAATGTAGACACACGTTATGGATAACAACATCTTTCATCTGACTTCCAATACAGATTCTTTGACCGTTGTCTAGCAGTACTGTTTCACAAAGTTAAAGAATTTGTACGGAAACGTCGCACTGACGAAATAAAGAACTTGTTATCCATACAGTTTGTCAATATTAGTGAGGATCACTGTAAAAGGTGTGACCAAATCTTATTCTAAAGTATATCCTTAATGAAGGAACTGACAGACTGACTTATCGAGCAGTCGAAGGCACCACTTTTTCAAGTGAAGGATTATGCCATTTCACCTGTAAATATCTGCTGTTTGTTGGTTCAAATCTGTTGTTCAAGGCAGATACTGAAATTACTGTCATAGTTGCCATTACGCAATAAAACATTTCAGATTGCCAACAGACAACCAGATCGTCAAAAGACTTGCAAAGACTCTCCACATGCAAACTTTGATATTACTGCCAGTAGTTTTGATTGGCCATGGGTGGACCAATCGTGTGAAGCACCGCGATTCGCTGAACAGAGTAACATCCCTTGGACATGCCAGAATTCTGCTGTGCCCAATTATGTGGTATCTCAGCCCCATTCCCGTGCGTGTGGGTTCCACGCAGTCTGTGACCTGTATCAGTGCAGATGTCAGCTAAAAATGCTTTCATGACGAGCTAGGTTTGAAGTTGTTTCGCACTGTAATGTTGTAAATCGTCAGCAACATGAAGACACAGATTTATTATTCCATATTGGAAGGAGGACACAGGGTAGTACTTTCCCATTCGTGACCAACTCGTGTTCCTACGAGAGAAACCGAATAGCCACTCGTACCCCTCTGGAAGGATTTCATATTGGCGCATGAACATCAGAACTACTTTAAACAGGAACGAACACCCAAGCACACATTGTATTGCTGTTTTTCTATTTGCTTATTTACTTTAAAGAATTAAACCTTTTTTGATACAACTAAAAGACGGAGAAAAACATATTTGTTAAAGATATATTATGACGTAATTATTACCAGCTGTTCACCTTATGTTTCTAGTTGTATTTCTAAATAGGGTTTAATAATCACAAAAGCGGTTTGTTTTATTGAAAAAACAGCTACATTAAATCCCAAAGCAGATACTCAAAAATGACTTTAAAATATTTCTCAAAACCGAACATTCGCGTAACCTTGCTGTCATACCCCAAGTGGAACTTAAAATGATTTAACTGAGATATATAAGAATGAAAAAAAAGCCCAAACATGTCAGACTAAAAGGGTTCAGGCTAAAACGTCACCATAGCAAAACGGCACCTGGCGAAAACTGCACCATTTGGACATAACGGAACCTCGACTTGGCGAAAACGGCTACCGATCTAAGGCACCAGCTTAAATCTTATGGGGAAACTAGTTTGTCATTAGATAATTCTGATAATTCTGAATTCAAAATGTTTAGATAGTAAATACATCTACTGTGCCGACAGTGATTGGAAAGGGCATCCCATAGCCGAAAATCGGATTACAGAATGTTTAGATTGTAAATACATCTACTGTGCCGACAGTGATTTGAAAGGGTATCCCAATTTAGCGTGAAAACATCGCAACCTTTGATGTTTTTAGTACATTTACTCAACTGAAATCGCCCAAACTCAGTGTCAAAATGAAACTGTATTTAAAGCGCACAAATGTACTCATTGTGTGCACTTGTGTTTATGTGTGCATGAAACTCCGAGTAACAATAATCCAGTGTACTAAACATACCCGCCATATAGCTAGAACATTGCTGAGTGCGGCGTAAAACTAAACTCACTCACTAAACATACATACATATATATATCGGCTCGTATTGATACGGTCGTACGTCCATGCCAAATATTCACTGCTTCAGAACCCATGGTTGGCATGGCAAATCAAAGAGGAAGCCATTGGCACATATGCTCAGTAAGTCGCGGGTGTGTGTCCGTATCAGGAGGAAGCATGGCTGCCTTTATTACGTGTTTATTGCGATTTTACAAAAACATTTTTCTTCAATTTTAATCATGTAAGGTGACTATCGGAGTGGTTTACCCCTATGGAAAAATAGCTGTTTCTTAGTATTCTCCTTTTTGATAAAGGTAATTAGCACTAAAGCAAATGTTACATACAAGGGGCTGTTAACAATGGCAGAATATCACTCCACCTTGAGAAACAAAACACATCAATGGATTAATTAACAAATTTAATTAATTTCACAATATAGTGGAGGAACCCCTATGTGCATATTATATTCAACAATTAAGCTAAAGGTGACATGCACTGATACCAGTAAGTGTGTCTTCATTGACTATGGCCCTGCTAGGCCTTGCATATGTTACCAGTAGTTCACATGATATTCAAATGGTACTCAGGGACAACAAAGCATAATTTTTCTTCAGTCACAGAGTTCATTAGATATACTTATATTATACACTAGTTATACCCAGCCACACTATATGTTACTCACACTAAGTGAAGCTATACAGTAGGTATACCCAGCCACACAGTATATTACTCACGCTCAATCACACTATACAATACACACCTTGGGATGATATGGTCTTTACAATAGATAGCTGTTTATTTTTCATATCAACCTCTTGTGACGTCATCAGAGGCTGGTTGGCATTAAACCCCGGGTGACGTTACGAGATCAGTCTAAACAGCCTGACAAACGTATCCTCGTCCGGATACATAAAAATTCGACTACGCCTCAGTTTTGTATCCTCCCTCGGTTAAAGGTACGTCAGAATTTCTTGAATATTACTCTCGGATGCGCCTCAAGCAATACTGAGTTGAAGTAACATTGAGTTGAAGAAACGACACACTTCATATTGTATTTCCTGATCACTACATTGATGGTGCAATTTTATGCCAAAATGATTCCGCCTGGCATTGATGGAGGAACATCACTCGTGCATCTGATCTCGCTCGGGGCTGCGGTATCAGTCTTCTCACTCACATCTGTACTACAGTCAGTTGCTGTTGCACTGGTCGGAGAAATGTTAATCACGGCGCTGACCTCGATCTTCTGGCCTTTTGATGTCCTTTTGTAGTTAGGACAACCTGCAAAATTAAGAGTTGGATGATAATTTGTAGTATTTGTGTTATTCAAGATATGTCAATGAATTTTGATAATGATTAATTACAATGGATTTTTCTATGAAATTTGTGGCAAACTTGACTAAACGATACTATATGAATATATTAACTCAGTCCAAATACGCACATTTATAAAATTCAAACAAGTTCATTGATACTTATATTTATGTATTTCCGCCTCCCGATAACCCCAAATCTTAAATAGTAATTTCAAATAGTTTCATGTTGTCAATTCAAAAGGATTTAGCATGAACAGTGTACATTTGTTAATCAAACACGAAACAACTTACCTTAAACACTCATGTGCCCAGGTCGTTCCATTATGAGTTGTTCGGGGATCCCTTTCTCGTAGACTTTGGTCGCTGTTGTCACCCTCACGAACCTAATCAACCAGAGTGATAGTTGTGCGTCATCAATGAGATCAAGCATGGTAAGAATCTTCTCTTCATTAAGGCGGTTGTTATTCCTCCAAATAGTCCAGTCGCTGAAGGTATTCACCACCCATTTGTTCCTCCGACGTGTGTTCTTGGGTACGGCGTCCTGTGCGCGCTCTTCAATATCCAAGTCAGTTGACAGGAACTTGTAAGGGGTATTTTCAACGGCGTCTTCATCGTCACTAATATTGGAATAATTAGACAAATTATCCATGCTTTTGGTAGTCTCCGGTCCAAAAACTTGATTTAAATGCTCAATATTCTGTCTTGCTGCAACCAGCTCATCATTCGACTCAGTCAACATCTTGCATACGAGTGATCTTGACTATTCTAAACACCATGTGCTCCCAACTGAGTTGTATTTCTGTGATGTGTTTTTGTTTTCATTTCCTTTTAAAATGTTGTTTTTCGTTTAGTTATAGAAATGTAAACAACCTAAAACTATTATCCCATAATTGCAACATTTGTTTTCTTTCAAAATGGAAATTACATGATAAAAACTCCCCAAATGTATAACTTACGGCGGTACTAGCAAAGTGCGAGAAGTATCCCAACGATGTTTAAAATAAACTATGTCTGAGCGCCAGCACACACCCGCGGTGTTGACGCAGTGCTGTCACTGCATGATGTGCACGTGAAATTGCTGACGTTTGTCATGGTGAAATTGACATAACCCTGGCTGCTTCTGCTTTCAAACTTGCAAATAAGTAAAAGTATTTAGACTGATTTTAGAAATGTCTAGTCAGTCGTTAACCGCAATGTGTAAGTCAAATAGCAACTCATCCCGCTGTTCATATGTAAAAGAACACCCTCTCTCCGCTCAGGCGTTCATTTTACCTATAAACCTTGGGATGAGTTGCTATTTACTACGTAGCTATACCCAGTCACGCTTTATATCTTGTGATCTGTCAACACCAGGTCAGTCAGTCTGCAGTTTACAGGTCATGGTAAATATAGTTACTTATCTTATCTTCATATGGAATAATAAGTTGATCGAACATCAGTGATCTATACAATGACATTGCAGGTGAAAACTTGAATTTCACCTGAGATGTGATTGCATACATACACACACCCACATCCATCTACACAAACGCCGAAAGGGTACAAGACGCCGTCCACAGAAGTGAGTATGTTTCTGACAAACTGTCCCGACTCAGTCAGATGAGCAACAGTGTGTTGATCGCAGTCAGTAACCAGGATGTCACCTGTGCTGGTACTTGTGATACCACAAGGACTTCTCAGTGTTGTGTGTCCTGTTGTAGGGTAGGTGAACACGACGTCCCCTTCAGCTGTCAGGCACAGGACACGCCCGGAACTGTCATCTGACACCAGGATGTTTCCTTTGCTTGTTGTACAAAGAAAGTTTGGACCCTGTATAATTTCCTCCCCACTATCTTACAAGGCTAATTGACCTTAGTACGTATCCTGTCATGTCCAGAATATCCACCCATCTTTCAGAACCTGCTGCTAGTGTTGATGGTGTCAGACACGTTATACCCCAGTACTGTTTGCTGGTTGTGATGGTTGACATCAGAACAAGTCCAGGGCTGCTTCGCACTGCTACAATCTGACTGATGTTCGGCACAGTGACGGCCACCTGGTCGTGTTTCAGCCTTGTTACACCCAGCGGTGCACCCCCCAGTCTGAGCTTGCTGTGACCTCGCTGTTTGTTCCAGGTGTAGAAGGACTTCACACTGTTGTTGTAGGTATCTGTGACAACCACTGTGTCTGAACCATGCACCATCAACACCGTTACGTCACTTATGTATACCGCATTCAGATCTCCTGCTACCCTAACGTTAATGGTGTCCCATAACACAGGAGCAGCCTTCAGGTCCAGCACGGTACCAGTGTCTTGTAACACAGGAGTAGCCTTCAGATCATGTACGTTACCAGTGTCTTGTGACACAGGAGCAGCCTTCAGGTCCAGCACGCTACTGGTGTTTTGTGACACAGGGGCAGCCTTCAGATCCAGTACGTTACCAGTGTCTTTTGACACAGGAGCAGCCTTCAGGTCCAGTACGTTACCAGTGTCTTGTGACACAGGAGCAGCCTTCAGATCCAGTACGTTACCAGTGTCTTGTGACACAGGAGCAGCCTTCAGGTCCAGCACGCTACTGGTGTTTTGTGACACAGGGGCAGCCTTCGGGTCCAGCACGCTACTGGTTTCTTGTAACACAGAGGCTGCATTTAGGTCCTGCATTCCATCATAATAGACAACAATCTCACCCAGCTGTAGATCAGCCAGTGCTCTACTTAGCTTGTTTGTGTTCTGTCTGAACATGATTCTGACTATTCTTCCCAACTCCTTCTGGTCTACGTCTCCATCAACCTCCACATCACCGGCCTCGCACCCCTGATACATCTCATACACATCCATGTCACACTCAGATTGTAGATCCTGGTCTATCAGCTCAGTCTGTTGTTGGTACATCTGTACTGACATTTCGCCCGTCTTCAAGTCAGCTGCCAGTTGTTCAATGTGCTTTTCCAAAACATCTTTCAGTTCATCTAGCAGTTTATTTTCCATTTGTGTTATCTTCTCTCTCGCTTTGGTTCCAAAAGACTTGATGTCATGTTCCATTTTTCCATATCGATGTTTTGCAGAAATTATGTTCACTGTAACAACATCAACTTTTGTTTTCATTTCCATTTGCTTCTTTGAAATAGTTTCCTTCTTATTCAACAGGTGTGACTTCAATGCAGGTAATTCCGACTCCAGTGTGACAACTGACTCACATTTCCTGTGATAGATAACACAACAGGTGTGACAGGTGACTTTCTCGCAATCTTTGCACAGGAATTTGATGCACTCATCCTTGTGTTCATTACACATCACTTTACGTCTCCTGGAGATATTGACCTCAGACCCAGAGAGATCAAGTACGTCATGGTGACGAGTGGCTGGAAAACGTCTGTGTGCCCTGGCACATGCTTCACACAAGGCGTCATCGCATGCCGAACACCACACAGTCGCAGGAGTTGTCTCCCCTTCTCCCCGACAGCATGTGCAATCGTTTGCCTCTGCACGAAAAACGGATAGATTGATGAAAAGAAACCAGCAATGCATGTTGCCATATTTATCACATACACCTGATGTGAATGAGTATTTGTCATATGCTGATTTACCTTAACCTTAATATCTGTCAACTTTGTCACACATAAAGAAAATCTCAAAATTTGTAAACATTTCACATATGAAGAATATTTGACAAGTATATATCTAAATGACTGTAATGTGAGTGAATAGTTTGACCCAATCATTTTCATCTGATTATCCTACAGATTTCAGAAGTGACAATCATGCAGCGGCGCAGCATTCAGGGGTATATATCAGGTAAAAACAACTGATTAAAGTAGCTATCAGTACTCTTTATGTTTACAATTACACGTTGTTACACTAAAGGGACCATACACAACAGTGGAACCTAAGAAGAACACTTTTTCCATGTACCTCATGATATTTACAAAAGCAAAGTCACTAGCATCATACAGCAACCCCACGCTATCCCTTACGTAACTTTAAAACAATCAGCGAATATTTGTGTTTATCATACAATGGATAGTGTTCTCGGGAGGATAAAGCCAACGAATATTTTCGGTATCAGTTGGGGTCATATACGGATATCGATGCAAATTAGAGAGGTCATATGCAAATGTTAGGGACTACTTTCACAGTGTAAACAATCATGGCGTCAATGGTCGGCGGTCGTGTCCGGATTGACGGTCGTGGTAACGGTACTGTCAGTGCTTTGATCCCCGAAAATTCATGCCTGGTTATTATTGATGGAGTAGATTACTGACTGACTGACTGAGTTTAGTTTTACGCCGCTTTTAGCAATATTCCAGCAATATCACGGCGGGGGACACCAGAAATGGGCTTAACACATTGTGCCCATGTGGGGAATCGAACCCGGGTCTTCGGCGTGACGAGCCAACGCTTTATCCACTTGGCTACCCCACCGCCCCTAGTAGATTACAAAGCGAAGATAGAAATTCATAGGTTTACGAAGATACCAACATCAGTTCCCCGACCGACTGTTAGTGTTAGCGAGAGAATGGCACTAGAATCCAGGTGCACAACGCGAATATTAAAGTGTATTTGCTGTTCAAAAGGTTAATTAAAGGTTTCTGAAGTTCCACGCGAGTTTGTTGGCAACAATATACGTGCTTTAACATAAAAACTGACTAGGAACTATATGACGTAACGCAGTCAAATGAGTGTCCAGTAGAAAATTGCGTCACCGAGCTTGTGACGTCACGTATTACTACGCACATATTTGTGACGTCATAGATATGTGGGCACATTTCCTGATTTGTGGCAAATTAAATCGCATTTTTTAAAATTTTAAAGTAAGAATGACATTGTATTATAAAAAAGGTTATTACACTCGTGTGTTTTGGGATCGTTGATATCCTGCATTAGGAATAAACATTGTATTTAGCGAGCCTTGGCGAGATAACCTATATGTCTTTCTTATCTATTCAAGTTGGAACAAACAAGCTCAGTGAATGTCATTTATTACATAGCCGGTTTGAGTATGGTTCGTAGTATTACCTAATTGCTAAGAAGGAAAGTAGCTTGATATCAAATATACTCAATGGTGTCTATCTACCTTTACATCCGGGGCCAAAAGAGTCCACCAGTCCTTGAATGACAAAGCTCGGTTTGACGTCATCCGCCCACTCATCTATTGGTCTCTCAGGGGCACTCACTTTCGTCATTTTGCTGCAGAAAGGACACAGCAGAGACTTGGCACTGATGGCTTGTGGTTTGGTTTTGGTATAGTTGACGACACATTTCCAACAGAACGTGTGATAACAGACAAGGGTGCATGGACTGTCAAACACCTCTGTACATATGGTGCATGTGAGGAAATATTCCTCCAGTTTCTGAGACGTCGCCATCTACAAACAGAAGATGCACGTGAAATACAGAAAAATATCGACACTATAGTAAGTGTTCATTTCAAATTTGTAAATATACAAGCGGTTCCACGTCAACCTAAAAAAACGTAAACGTCAAAGATCAAGGCCTTCTGCAATCAGTATCTTGTGTGCCCACCCTGGGAGTCAAGAACAGCCTGATATCTCTTCCGAAAGAATCCATGAAAGTACTAATTAGGGAATGGTCGTCCACTTGGCCGCGACTGTGGTTGAAGCTGTCGCTCATTCTGTGTTTGTCTGGGTTGAGATTTGGTGAGGAAAATGGTCTGAATATGTCGTGTTGGTTAAGCTGTGAATCGTTTGGCTGATTGGTCTGATGATATCATTCTGGAATCCACGAACATTAACCAGATTGATTCTGGCATTGTGTATAATTGGTGTCAACATAATCACTCTACTTCCGCTAAACACGTGGACGTTCATGGGGACGTCTAAACATCTTCAATCTGCACCATGGGGCAAAATACGTGACTTGTGCACATGGCAACCATGATGTTGTAGATGATGAATGTTCACAAGCAACACAGCGTAGATGCGTTATGTTTAACCAATCAATCCATTGGCCATTATCCATCTGATAAAATATGATACGAAATAAATAGCTTCTTATTTCTTTTGACGTGTCTCTCATGGAAGTTATCACCACAGTCGCTTTTAACAGAGCCATGTACTTGTATTGTCACGCAAGCAAACACTGCACTTAACCCATTTGCATTAGGTAAAATAGACCTGCCCCAATAAACGCAACATCACTAGCCAGTATGAATCATTGCAGGCTTGGTGATAGCCATGGTAGTTTACAGACTGGAGGCAATGTGCCGTTATGTTCACAGATCGATCCACCTCAGATTAGGGTGTAGATATCCATACACCTGTATGTGACGACAGCAGAGAAGGCAACACAGCAGAAGGAAGGACTCGAATACAAATTATAAGACCATTACCATCTTGTCGATTCTAAATTTACTAATGATGTCGTTATACCTGTCGCTGGTCATTGGTAGTATTGTAGTGAACCGAGAATCTGGCAAATATCACCCGCATGCCAACTTACCTTCACTTCCTCGTTCCCCCCAGTAGGTGTAGGGGGAGATTGTACCACGTGTCGAATACTGGTTAGAGACAGGTTAGAGACAGGACAACGACCCGTGATTGAGCTTTTGGTTCTAGGGTCTTTACTTCAGAAAATGCATGTAGTCACGGGAACAACACGATAATGTAATGTTTTGTCATTGCTTTCATTCTGTGTGTCTATTCTTCCGAATATACTATTGTATATCCTGATTTCAGAACTTTGGTTAAACTGCATTCCTGAATATTTCGCGAAATCCGTAGAACATAGTGCCGTGGCGGGGTGAAGGAGTAGCCCAGAGTAGGCGACGTCGGGTCGGGTTCGAATCTCAGCATGGGTGCAAAGCCCATTTGTGGGGCCTTTTAGCCGTCAGACTGTAGCCATTCACTCAATCACTCAATAAGAGTAAAAGATAAACATGTTTTTTTAAATTGAAGAATATTCGTTTAGGTCTCTTTAGGCATTTCGTAATGATAAAAGAAGTATTTAAATGTGACACCAGAGCTGATAAGAAAAGTTATACAAGTGTGTTGTTTGTCAAGAAAGTCCAATTTCCACTGTTAAGATTTCCTGTCGACTGTGGTAACACGGACCTCGACTCAGACTGTCCCTCCGTACAATACTAGGTGCATTTGCTCAGAGCGGTTCAAAAAAAGAATATTTTTAGTACAGGCAACTGTCTCGTGTTAGTATGTTACAGGTTGCATGCTTGGGAAGAACACATTCGAACTATTCCCTTTGTGATCTTGTAAACAACGTTCCAATGGGTTGTTCAGACCTGATCTTTACTGATATAAGATATCTGTGCAGCCATAGAGAGGATAGAGCCGGGTTACCCTATCTCTGTACACAATTTCGATATTGAGACCAACCGACTGTTTCGAGATGTGTTTTCTGATAGATCTGTACTGCATCACACGTTATATGCTTTAGCAAAGTATATGCGTCGTGGTCTAACCACAAATTAAGCATTATTTATTGTCTCTGTAATTCATCTGCTATTGCTGACAGATTCCATTAGCTCGTTCTCGTTCATTTACAGAACCACAACCAAAGTTCGTCAATCCACATTAATATAATTTTCCTAACCTGTATGAATTGAAGAACCTTCTAAGCTCAAACGATGTGTCCGTATTAAAGAAGCTGTGTACATTTGCTGCAGTTATAAATTGTACTCTTGGACCAAAATGTCGTTAACTGTCATGTCGATCATGTTGCTTGTAATACTGCTGTTTGAAAATATGGTCTTGTACCACCGTTGCAGGTTTTTGAGAATAGTTCAAGCTTTTAAACTTTCTTTAAAACCTATTGCCACAGTTTGTATCTGAACCAAACTTCTGTAACGAAAAAGCGTGAATTGATGTACTTGATTTTCCGCCATGTTACTAGGCCTCCTTTTCAATTCAAGTCGAGTATTTGTTTCTGTTTAGCATCTCCATTTAACACTGGCGCAATGTCCCCACATGCACCACCAATAAATTCTGCGCTGCCCGTTTTGTTATTGAATGTGTCACAGCACAGTGCAAATGAACTACGGCACAGTGATTGTTTGCTGAGATCTTCTACAGGTGACAGGTTGGAATTCAACAGGCAACTAAAAGCTTATGAGAAAGAGAATTCACACGAAGCTTGAATTTATTCCTTGGCCTATGGACAAACCAACGCTGTATTGGAATCAGTTATTCAGAGACATTCACTTTTATTAAGTTGAGTGCAACTCGCTGCTCACAGTGATTTTGGTATCAAGGGGGATAACTGTAATTGGGGACGTTATGAGCGGAAGTTGACGGTTAAAAGAAAGACTCGCGGTTTGTGTCATGAAGAGATAATTTTAAAGAGATTTATTTTGCAGTAAAAAGCAGGTTAAAGTCTGTATTCGCCAGGAAAGTTTCACCTAACGTTTCAAATCACTGTAATCTATTACTATGCTAGGTTATGCTTGAGTTTCAACGCAGTTACATCTATTTCTCATGAATGTTTCATCAAGTCGCAAGTGACTTTCATGTATGTGTTGGAACCGTGTTGTAACAGTGGAGTTCTGCATTAAACAATTGAGACTTCGAGTTCATAATCCATGAATACGAAGATGCTTAGGCACACCCACATCGCAAAACAATACAGTGAAACTTTCTAAAGGAATGTGTAACATCAAGAAGTATGTGAAGTTAAGTCAAGTCAAGTCAAGTAATGAAGTCAACTAAGTGTACTATGTTGTAAAACTTTCAAAATGCTGTTTTAAAAGAAACAGTTGAAAGTTGTGCCCAACAGAAAGCAGCTATTTCTAGACAGTGAATTTGAACTATCATCAACATGAACATTGACACAATTAAGCAAGGACTTAGCAAGACCAAGCTCGCAGTATTATTCTGTTCAAAGAGATGAATAGGCACTGCCCAGAGAAATCATGACAAAGAAATTCTTTACAATTTAATGATTAAAGTGGAGAAAGCCTACAATGATTTTCTTCATATTTATAGTGAATATACCCAGGCCATAGAAGAGGAACACTGTACAGTAGATGGTGAAGATCAGGTAGAATACAGGGACATTGTTTCTAAAGTATGTAAAGAAGCCAGAAACATATTTTCAGAAATCAATACAGCTGAACAATTAGCATTAAACCGAAAGAATGCAGGATCTTTGCATGACACTTTGAAGAGGAATAGGAACAGAATTAGCAGCTTGCTACAAGAAATAGAATGTAATCTTTAATCACCATATCCTGATGTTCACAGTCTTCAGTATGATAGAGATACAGTTGACCAGTTGTTAGTTTCCATGAACAATCAGTTAGGAACTCTGTTGAAGTTGTTAGGACCAGAACATTTCTATAAAGAGCAGAGAACCATGGAAGAAATAAACAATTCTGTAGACAGAATGAGGAGAGGACTGTATGCTACAATAGCTAAGGCTACAGGTACATCTGTACAGAACCCATGTTCAAGTAAATTCATGCAATCACAAACAACTGACACAGAAAAATACAGACCTATATCTCTAACCAGCTGTGTCTGTAAGACCATGGAACGAATGGTAAACAGTAGATTAACATGGTATCTTGAAATCAATAACCTTATAACCAATATTCAATGTGGTTTCAGGGAACATCGTAGTACCATTGATCATTTGGTACGTTTAGAATACTTTGCTAAAAATGCTATAGTAAATAAACAACATGCTGTATCGATATTCTTTGATCTCGAGAAAGCGTACGATACCACCAGGAATTTTAATGGCATTTTAAAGGATTTACATGATTTTGGTTTGAGGGGTCGTTTACCTCTTTTTACATCAAGTTTTTATCAGACAGGCAATTTCAAGTCCGAGTGGGATCAACCCTGTCTGACCATTACAATCAGGATCAGGGTGTCCCACAAGGAAGTATTTTGTCTGTCACTTTATTTAGCATTAAGATTAACAGCTTATCCAATGTTTTAAACATTTCAATCGATGGATCACTATTTGTGGATGATTTTAATATTTCTTGTCGCGGTAAGAATATGCATACTATTGAAAGGCAACTGCGGTTGTCTTTAAATAAAATAAATAAATGGAAAAACTAATTGTCTACACTTTTGTAGAAAATATAAACCTCATAAGGACCCAGAACTATCTTTAAATGGCACTCCGATCAAAGTTGCGAAGGAGGCCAAGTTCTTGGGCCTTATTTTCGACTCCCATTTAACTTTTCTTCCGCATATCAAATATCTCAAAAATAAATGCCTGAAGGCACTTGACTTGTTGAAAGTCGTTTCCAATTCTAAGTGGGGAAGGGATCAAACTACCCTCCTACATCTATAGCGATCACTGGTCCGTTCGAAGCTTGATTACGGCTCCATCGTATATGGTGGAGCCTGCAAAAGTAACCTTAACATTTTCTTGATTCTGTCCACCATCAAGGTCTAAGACTATGTCTTGGATCCTTTAGAACTTCTCCTATTGACAGTCTCTGTGTTGAGGCCGATGAGCTATCTCTTACACAACGCCGTATAAAATTATCCTTGCAGTATATAACAAAACTTTATTCTAACGAGTCTAACCCTGCATTTAACTGTGTTTTCAACCCTCTTTTTGAGGATCTGTACAACAAAAAGTCTTCTCTTGTTCCGCCTCTGGGATTAAGAGTCAAACCATTCGTTTGTGCTACCGGCATTGAGCTGGAAAATATATCTCCTTCCCGTCTTCTTTCTTCTTCTCCTTGGCAATTGGTAAGGCCACAGGTCGACCTAACACACACTAAATTTAAAAAATCAGAAACTAATGACTTACATTATAAACAAGAATATGTTCAATAAAAAAGTAAATATAATACATATAAATGCTTATTTACAGATGGGTCCAAGGATGGTGGCGCGGTTGCTTGTGCCACTGGCATTGGATCCAGAACAATATCTTCCCGATTACCGGATAATAGCTCTAATTTCACAGCAGAAGCTAACGCCATATTAACAGCGCTTAAATATATGGAAAAAAAACCTAAATATAAACAGTATATAATATTTTCCGACTCTCTTTCGTGTCTTCAGGCTATCAAAAATCTTTCTTGCAAACATCCACTTTTAATAGAAATAATAGAATTATACAATGAGCTTTGCTACTGGCCAATATAAATATCTTGGCATTGTTTTCACATCAAAATTGTACTGGTCTAAAGCATGTGAAACATTAGCATTACAAGCTAGGAAGGCTTTATTTCCGATATTTTCTCTTTTCAGAACTTATCAAAATATCTCTTTGAATGTGGCATCTACTATATTTGATAGCAAAATTGCACCGATTCTGCTTTATGGTGCAGAAATATTGGGGTTTACCTATTGTGCAAACATTGAAAAAATACAAAGTTATTATTTCAAAAGATATCTTCGTGTTAGCAAAACTGTACCTTCAAACATTGTACTCGGTGAAACAGGTAGAAGCCATCTTTGTGTACAGTATTTCACCCGTTGTATAAAGTACTGGTGTAGACTCTTGAATATGGAAAGTTATTGTATTCCAAAGGCATGCTATGAAATGTTAAAAGCATACGATGACAATGGTGGTCGCAATTGGGTATCCCATGTACGTTTACTTTTATTTCACTCTGGGTTTTCTTTTGTGTGGTTATCGCAAGATTGTGGCGATGTAACAAGTTTTATAAGTGTTTTTAAACAGAGATGTAAAGATATAGATATACAGAATTGGTATGCAAAAATCACTTCTTCATCATTCTTAAATCTTAACTCGTCATATAAATCTTCACTTGAACCGGAAAAATATGTATCAGAGTTTTGCTATGATAAAGATCTCTTACGAGTTTTATTTAAATTCAGATGCATGAGTCATAAACCTAAACTTCAACACAACCGTTTTAATAAGGTAAATGCTGATTCCATTAAATGTGATAAATGTAATTGTAATTTGATACACGATGAGTATCATTTCTTACTCGTATGTCCATTTTATTCACAACAACGCTCTTTGTACATTCCTGATTTTTATATTATATCTCCAACCAGATCAAAGTTTACCCAGCTGCTTGCAACAAAGAATGTAAAACTCCTAAAAAATATTGCAATTTATGTTAAACTATATTTACCTGTATAAATTGTAAATTGTTCCCCTGGCCATGTGCTTTATTTTGCTTATTGAATTGTACTTTTGGTCATGTGGCCATAAATACTGAATAAAGCTCTTCTTCTTCTTCTTCTTCTTCTTCAATATGACATCGTCCTCTGTTGGTTACCCAGCCATGTTGGAATCTCTGGTAACACTATGGCCGATTTTACTGCTAAGGCAGCACTCAACATCTGTGACACCACTTCTTATTCCATACTCGGATTACTAAGCTCCCATTAGATCGTACATCCGTGATCTGATGCAGAAGAAGTGGGACACTCAAGTGGGTATTTAGAAATTACATGAAATAAAGCCTTATATTGGATATACCTACCTGGGTTGTCAGTCCAGATTTGAAGAGGTCATCATACGACGATGTCGTATTGGCCACACAAGATATACTTATGCATACCTATTGAAAGGTGAGGATCCTCCGTTTTATATCCCTTGTGATGAGAAAACCACGGTCAAGCATGTCCTGCTTGACTGTGTTGAATTCTCCATCATAAGGGATAAATAGTTCAATATCAAAACAGTAAAGGAACTTTTTAATAAAGTTAATTATCATTTAATCATTGAATTTTTAAAAGAGATAGATTTGTTAAATGAATTTTGATATATGTTTTGTAAATAGATAAAGTTGTATAATTGGTAGTTCAAATTATCAACTTAGATTGTTTGTGGCTGTATCCTCAAAGGGGGCTGAAGTAGCGTAAAATTATTTTCCTCCTGTGAGGTATGTAAGTCCCAAAAACTTTCAAGTAAAATTTTCACGTACAAGGTTTTTAAACGTAGTATTTTTGTTCTTTTAAATTTCGGCCAAATTAACCGACAATCGCCACGGCTGAAGGGATGGTGTAAATCCAGCTAGGCTCCATGCAGGTAGCAAAAGTAATGTAAGTCTCCATGGTTCCTAGTATGGTGATCTACCTTCAGATGCTGGCGATCTATATCCCGTGTTATATATTGTATTGTCTTCTTTAATAACACTGTTTTAGTTTTACATGCCAGTTTTATGGTCATATCTGTGATACTCTAGTGTTTTTACTGTCCATCGTCGACAGGTTTAATTCTTCACAATGTATAAATTGTTTTCGTCACGATATGGCTGAAATGTTGCCGCTGTGACGTTAAATATTCACTCACTCACTCACTCACAAGTACTCCCAGACAGCTACAATGTAGCCTACCAGACACTTCTGAACACTGAATGTAAACTAAAGTATGATCCACAGTGGGCATCAACCTACTGTCTACAGATTAAAGATCTGGTGGACAGGGGGGTGGCCAGAAAACTTTCCACAGAAGAGTCAGAAAGTTCGACTGGACCCACGTTTTATATCAATCACGTAGCAGTAGTGAACCCAAAGTCAAAAACACGGATTGTGTGTAATTGAAGTCGTAAAAGGCATCTCTCTCAACAGCTGTCTTGCCAAAAGCCTGTTACCTGAACAACAATGTTGGACTTTTGCTAAGGTGGCGAGAAGAAGCCGTTACAGTAGTAGGAGACATCAGGAAGATATTCAACTTCATTTACATGGAATCACTTGTCATCGTTTCTTATGGAGAAATCTGGAAACTGATCGGAAACCAGATGTATACATCATTGAACGTGTCAACATGGGGCATAAACCCGCTCCGGCGATAAGCACAGAAGCCATGTACAAGACTGCTGATATGTTTCAGGAGGTAAGTCCAAGTTAACTTCTCAAGTCAAGTTATGCTGATGATCTCGTTGATTCATTCAGACACATTGTAGAAGCAAACAGATATCAGAGGAAGCGGAAAGTATGCTGGGCAAAGGTGGTTTTCAAGTCAAGTGTTGGCAGTTCAGTCGACAAGCAGAGGATCTTGAAGCTCCAAAGCGAAAATCTGAATCCAAAATGCTGCTCAAAGGAACAAAGGAGCACCTACGGGTATTGGGCATGGGTTGGAATCCTGGAGAAGATCTGATGGAAATTCAAGTAACACTGAACATCTCAGAGAAGAAGAAAGGTCAACGGACTGGTCCCAACTTGGAAGAGACAGACGCCCCAAGAGGTATACCAGATAGACTCACAAAAAGAATGGTCCTTTAACAAGTCATGACCATTTATGATCCTCTGGGTTTCTTAAGCCCATTTACACTTTTCGCAAATATGTACTTGAGAGATACATGGATATTGCAACTGCAGTGGGATGAGGCACTCCCTCAGAGTCTCCAGGTGAAGTGGATCAAGTTCTTCAAATCTATGTTTGAAATAAAACATGTGAAGTATTACAGGTGTTTACGCCCAGATGATGCAATTGGAAAGCCAAGTCTTGTCATACTCAACGATGGAAGCGACATCGAAATCAATGAGTGCATTATTGAACCCACTGATCATGCTCGCAATCTTGGGGTGATAATTGACAGCACTATTAGCCTTGAAAAGCACGTCAATAAAATGTGCAAGAATGCCTACTATTTCATCCGAAACATAGGCTTAATCAGGAAGTACATCAACCAGCAAACTGCTGCAACTTTGATGCAAGCATATGTAGTATCTCGGTTGGACTATTTCAAAGCTCTGCTGCAGGGGATTCCAGAATATCTTCTGAGCAAGTTACAGAGAGTCCAGAACTCAGCTGCCCGAGTTGTGACACCCACAAAGAAGACAGAGCATATAACACCTGTTCTGATGACATTGCACTGGTTACCAATCCGACAACGTAGCCATTACAAAATATTGGTATTGATGTTTAAAGCCTTGCACAACACGGCACCAGTTTATCTCTCAGACCTTGTGCAAGAATATCAGCCAACACGCCATCTGTAGTCTGCCGGACCAAGACATATGGTGAAAGGTCTTTTCAGGTTTGTCGGCCCAGCTTTGTGGAACAAATTACCTCTCTCTCTTCGATCAGTACAGACATTCAGTACTTTCAAATCCAGATTAAAATATCTCATTTGTTCAGCATTGCATACGGAGTTCAGCAACGCTCTTGAGCAGTCTTTTCAAGACTGGATATTTGCGCTATATAAATGTATATCAATGTAAATGTAAATGTAAATGAATGTACTCAGGTACAAGTCATTCAAAGGTGGCCATCACATGAATGTTACCCAAAAAGACCTCCGTGAAGCAGAAAAGTTCATTGCAACAATCCTTGAAGACCTACAAAAAGGCTCAATGTTGAATTCAGTGAAAGGCGATGATGACATATGGACTGTCGGGGAACGCATGAGAAGGTTCAACGCCATGACATCAGACTCGACAATACAGAAACTCCTACCTGCATGCCACTATGTTGCAAGGCTCTACATGAAGAAGGCCCATGAAGCAGGACACAGAGGAAGAAACGCTACACTTGCCAGATTCAGACAACAGTATTGGGTTCGTCATGGAGACAAACTGGCAAACAGTGTGAAGGCAAACTGTCAGTTGTGTAAGTTAAGGGAGCCAACGTTACTCTCCAAGGAAATGGACCCCCTTCCAGAAGCGAGGTTGACGTTTTGTACACCATTCAATCATCCAATTTTGTTTGGACCATCTAAGATACGAGGTGAAGTCCTAAAACGTACAAGTGGGAAGGCTTATGGAGTAATATTCACAGACCTTGCTACAAGATGGTGTGTTTGACTACGACACACACTCATTCCTCCTAGCCTTCAGCAGATTTGTCAGCATCAGAGTCTGGCCAGAAACCATATACAGTGATCCTGGAACACAGCTGATTGGAGCGGAGCGTGAACTGAAAGAAGCATGGTAGAAGATTGACACAGGTCTTGTAACAAGACAAAGTACAGAAAATGGTCTGCAACGGATCTTTGGACCTGCAGACAGACCTTGGCACCAAGGAGCAGTAGAGGCACTTGTCAAGAGTGCCAAGAGAGCTATTCATTTTGCTATCCACAATATCCGAACGATTATATGCATCTGAATTTCTGACAGTATGTACAGAGGTAACCAACCTGACTAATGAACGTCCTATTTGTGCTCGGATCAGTGAAGACTCAGACATAACAGTCTTCACCCCAAACTTCTTATTACTTGGTCGAGCTACAGCCAAGAATCCCGCCGGATGGCAACCCAGAGGTTCGGTTGAATCATAGTATCATCTGGTCCAGACAATCACAGATGAATTCTGGAAGAAATGGACAGAGTTGTTTGCTCCGACACTTGTTGTCCGACAGAAATGGTCAACGTCTCAACGCAATCTCCAGAAAGGTGATGTAGTTCTTGTTGCAGACAAAAGTGTTCAACGCGGAGACTACAGGCTGGGATTGATAAAGGAAGTGTTCCCCGGCAGTGACGGCAAAGTGCGCAGAGTGACTCTGACGTACAAGAACCCTAAACAAGGTGAAACACAGTCTGTGTACACTGGAGTGAAGGACACTACAGTCTCTCGCAGTGTGCAGCGTCTTGCGTTGCTTGTTCCAGTCGACATGTCTTCAGAGATGGAGGATTCAAGTTCGTGTTGAAAATGATTGTAGTTCCAGTACTGTTTTCACAAGTGTGACTTTAGTTTTAGATTATTCTAGACAGACACTGACCGCAGCGACGCTTGTCCTCCCGGAGTATTGGAATCAGTTATTCAGTGTCGTTAAGTTTTATTAAGTTGAGTGCAACTCGCCGCTCACAGTAATTTTGGTATCAAGGGGGATAACTCTAATTGGGGACGTTATAAGCGGAAGTTGACGGTTAAAAGGAAGCCACGGGGTCTGCGTCATGAAGAGATAATTTTGAAGATTTTTTTTGCAGTAAAAAGCAGGTTAAAGTCTGTATTCGCCAGGAAAAGTTTCACCTAACGTTTCAAATCACTTTAATCTATTACAACGCTAGGTTATGCTTGAGTTTCAACGCAGTTACATCTATTTCTCATGAATGTTTCATCATGTCGCAAGTGACTTTCATGTATGTGTTGGAACAGTGTTGTAACAGTGGAGTTCTGGATTAAACAATTTAGACTTTGAGTTGATATTCCATGAATACGAAGAGGCTTAGCCATACACCCACATCGCAAAACAATACAAACGCATTGTCCACTCCCTCATTCAATCAACCACTTCACCAACCAAACAAACATTCAACCAATAAACCTTTCAACCACCGAAACACTCACTCACATTAGCAGGAATTCAGCCATTTCAACACAAATAACCAGGAATGATAAATTCACACAATTTCAAAACCTTATTTCAAAAGTGACTTCTTTGTCGCAAGCTTTGCATAGATCTTATCCAGGTCACAGGTTGGGATTCAACAATCAACCAAAAAAAAACCAGAAAGAGAGATATCGGCATGGATCCCCATCAAGGCTTGGGTCTAGTTTTAGTGAGCCTGATCTTTATATTGATCCAGGAGCCTGTTTTCAATGAATGTTTCGTTAAGATGTGTCTCCTGCCCATAATTATGGAGACGTGTCCGTGAGACACCACATGTGTCCACAGTTGTATTTAAGAAAGCAGGTGATAAGGCGAGTTGCTGCAGTCTTTAAAGGATAATGTAATTTAATTCTGTACTGTGTTAGAAAATAGGTCTATGGAATTTATTACAAGAGAATGGTGATACAGTTCAGTGGGTAATCATGTATGGATGGGACTTGGCGTGGACAGAATATGGGGAGAGACCCAAGTTCGAAATGAACTTTGACTACATGTAACAATGCAGATGAGTCAAGATACAAGATGTGTCAAGGTCATGCCAGAATTCTCGCGTGCCCAATTATGTGCTATCTAGTGCATGTGGGTTTCGCCCAGTCTTAGACCTGTTTCAGTGCAGATGTTAATTAAAAATTGCTTTCATCACGAACTAGGATTGATGTTGTTTTGCTCTGTAATATAATAGATCGTCAACATGATAAAGACGCAGACACAGATACCAGGTACTAGAAACAGATCACCCCTGAAGACACCAGAAATGGGCTCCACACATTTTATCTACGTGGGGCTTCGAACCCGACCTCGGGCGTGACGGGCCGGACCTTAACCACTATGCTTCTCCTTCCCCCTCCCCGGCCTCTATGTACTACGGTTTTCGCGAAACATTCAGGTGTGAAGTTTAAAGAAAGATTTGAAATCAGATTACATACTCCTGTATTCGAATGAAACGACGCGCAAAATGAAAGCAACGACAAAGCGATGTGTGCAATATCGTGTTATTCCCGTAACAACTCCGACTCTTGCCGCCTACATGCTTTCCCTTAAGCAAAATATATTCGCAACCTTGAGCTCAATAACCGGTGGTTGGCGTGCGCGGTGATAACCCGTCACTAGCCAGTCCAATGTAATTCTACACCGACTTGGTGGAACGAGGAAGTAAAGGTAAGTGGGCGTGCTGGCGATATTTGGCAGATTTCATTTCAATTCTAACAATGTTAAGATAGAGAGACGTCAGTACGCCGTGATTGAACGACCAGGTGTGAAATAGTACGGTGGTAATAGTGTAAAATTTCATCCATGGTGTTGTTTTTCCTGTGTGTGACCTTCCCACTGAGGGAACCGACTACCCTCATCTCAAACAAGTTGGTGTAGACTTACCGATACACTGACGCCAGTTAATTACTTTGTCTATCATATGTACATATAAACACAGTTTTGAGACAGTGCTGGTGTATAGTGTCAAGTGTTATTGCATTTGTTGGGAAATCTCTTACAGCTTGCTTTCGTTTTGGAAATAAGTTTTGCAATCTTGGCCAGTACATCATATACGCGACAATAAACGTAAATGCACCAACTGGAATAATACTAACATGAAAAGCCTTTACAGGGGGACAAGACCAAACTAAAAAAATATTATAAAATCTAAACGTATTAAAGTTTACATGTTGTATAGGGGAGACACCATACTTGGGTTGTTAGGTGACGTCATGAAAAAACAATTCTTATCAGTATGCACGTGATTCTCTATATCCATTTATCAATGGTTATGTACACAATATTGACAAGAGTGATTATTTTTGTCTTCTTTATCAGCAGTAGTAGATAGACGATATGGGAATGTGAGAACAAGTGACAACATAGAAATGAATCATTATTATTATAGGATATTTATATAGCACACATATCCACGCAATTAGTAAATGCACAATGCGCTGGAGTGTTCCCTTGATCAACGGACGTCTTTTTTCTGGCATTGTTTTAACCAACTCAACTCCCTGGGGAGTATTCAACTCATGCAGCCTGTTACGTCACAGGGTACCCATTTCAAGCTGGGTGAACTGGGCCCCCAATTCATGTAGTCACAGTATTTTGTCCAATGATGCTGCACGTTACTTTACCCGCAACTTGGTGTCTGCATGTGTTCGTGTGTCCACCATCTGGTCACCTGCCATCGGATGATATTTCTATATCAACGTAAGAATGATGTAAATCACATGACGTATTACTATGACAACTCTTGTCTTTTTGTACCCTCATAAGGTCATGTGTTATGCAGTATAGTTTCTTTATCTTTAACCACATGGGTACAATGTGCGGAGCCCATTTCTGTCGTCCCCCGCCCTGATATTGCTGGAAAATTGCTAAAACGGCGTAAGACTAAACTAAACTCAATCAATCAATCAATCTTTACCTTTAACAGGAAATGGTTTAATCCAGTTTTACTTATTTACTACAAAAAGAGGCGTAACTTTATCAGTGACCACATCCTCCTCACACTGTTCATGAAATTCATGTCACTTGGAATTTAAGGATTACTTCTCACAAGTTACTTACTTACTAAGTTCTGACTATTTTTGTCAGGTGTTGTTACCGAAACAAAGACACACAAAAGTAAACATAAATCTTCAAGTAAATTGATTGGCTGATCAGACGTTAAAACAAACAGATAACTAGACACACTTGATTCAGCGAGGTCAGGGCCTCATCAACATGGGTCCCCGTCAAAACCTAGCAGCCGGGACATACGTATATACTCAGAGATAACTTTGAAGATGACTAAATACAGTTACTCAAACATTTCAACCTACATAGACTGGGTTGTAGTCTCTGTTACATTATTTTCATGTCATCTTAGGTTAAACGTCTTTTCAATAAATGATGTAGAACAGGATAACGAGATGGTTGGATTATCCATTGATGAGGTCTCAGCAACCAGTGGGTCACGTGAGAGGCTTATCTGTTGATGACGTCACGTGTTGGAGATTAAATAATCATTAATCAAACTCATCATTTTAAATAGGCCATACATGCCAATATAGACATAACTTGGTAATCCGTGTGAGAAGTAATCACCTAACTCCAAGTTATTTCAAGAATTTCATGAACAAGTGATGATGATGTGGTAACTGATAAAGTCTTTTTGTACTAAATAAGTAAAACTGGACTAAACTAGTTCTTGGTAAGGTAAAGAAACCCTGGGCAGCAAAGGTAAAACCATGTGTGTCACGTGATACTTCACAAGATACTTACTGCAGGTGAACTTGTCCTTTGACGCTTGAGTTTTCCCCATATATCTTACAGTGAATATGAAGAAAAGGATTATGTATAATGTCTGATTCACTCAGTGATTATACATAACCACTGACATTTTCAGGGATTATACATAATCACTGAGAAATAGACTAGAATTTTAGATATTCATCTGCGACGCTTGTCATCATTATCATGTATTACATCTGCTTCTTCTGTTTGCAGATGGCGACGTCTCAGAAAATGCAAGAACATTTCCTCACATGCACCATATGTACAGAAGTGTTTGACAATCCATGCACCCTTGTCTGTTATCACACATTCTGTCGGAAATGTGTCGTCAACTACACCAAAACCAAACCACAAGCCATCAGTGCCAAGTCTCTGCAGTGTCCTTTCTGCAGCAAAATGACGAAAGTGAGTGCCCCTGAGAGATCAATAGATGAGTGGGCGGATGATGTCAAACCCAGCTTTGTCATCCAGGGACTGCTGGACTCATTTGGCCCCGGACGTAAAGGTAAGGATCAATGGTAAACTGGTACTGCAATGCACGATGGTCTATCGGATGTGTCTTGCACCACACTCAAAAGATTGGAAGGATAAACACGTGCAAAATCTGTTAAATATTCGTCTGTGGCCGTGCCATGTTCGACTCTTAACCGAAGGCAACACACTCCCTTACTCAATGTGAAAATGACTGATCTACATTCATTATTTACTGATACAAATTTGAATTTGTACCCCCACAATACTCATGAATGTAGTGGTCCTGCATAGCTGTTTTCCAAATATCTTGGTTGAAGTTAAAATGTAGGGTATTTAGGGGTCAAGTGATACCTCATTTTTCGTTATGTCAAACTAGTCATTCAAGTTCCCGAAATCTGAAGTCAGTCTTGCAGATATCTTTGTTTTATATATCGTGTTGTGAGGTATAGTTTGGCATAAAATGCATGTGGACCCGGTTTTTTGTAAATATCTCTTCATCCAATGATCCAATCGATCTCAAACTGGGAGGGTGGATCTTTTGTCAGACAACCTAATCACATTGTAAATTTTATGCATTTGTATTAAAGAATCTGTCTATGTAACTGTCAACAAAATAAACAGCAGAACGCAGACTGCTTGCAGAGGGACGGAGCCAATGACCTGTAACAGCGGCAGTGTTGGGTCATAAAGGTAAATGCACGTGCAGTTCATAATAGTTACCTGTGCACTGCACAGTGATAGACCGTTTGGATCATTCACATTGACTACTTCTAGCTGTCACCATGAAAGCTTATTCAGATGATGCTAAACGTTTAATTAGAAATGTGTTGAATTTTTGTAAAAAAGAGAGCAAACGTAGCAAACCGATTTATAAGGTGTCTGATTACATGAAACGTACAACTTTTGCTCTTGGCATGAAAAAGAACATCGTGCTAAAAATTGTGAAAAATAAACCAACAACCAATAAACAAAACCTTGTACAAAAAGGTAGGCATCCAAAGTTAGATTCTTTTGACATCAGGGTCATCGGAGATGTCATTCGCCGGCTTTTTGCTAGAAATGAACACCTGGCCACAAGAAAGTTAAAACACATCCTTGCAGAGGATCACGACATTAATGGTTCTAGGTTTATGCTAAGCAAACTACTGCTCAAATTTGGATACAAGTACAAGAAGGTAGCAAACCAGAAACTTGTAATGTGTGAGAGATCTGATATTGATAAAATAAGGTGTAACTATCTGAGAGAAATTAAGCAGGCAAGAGAGGATGGGTTCGAACCCATATATCTGGATGCGACCTGCTGCCAGACAGTGGCTACCCACTGATCCCAATTATGGTAGGAAAATACCAACAGGCAAAGGTGAACGTTTAATCGTTCTTCATGCTGGTTCCCACCGTGGATTCCTACCTGGGTGTGATCTGGTATTTCGGTCAAAGAGCACAGATGGACTATCATAAAGAAATGAACTCAACGGTTTTCACACAGTATGTTGAGGAACAATTGTTGCCAGCTCTGCCTTACAAAAGTCTTGTTGTCATGGACAATGCTCCCTATCACAGTGTTCGAGATCCAAACAATAGGTGCCCAACTTCCAATACAAAGAAGTCAGATATGCAGCTATGGCTAACAAATAACAATATACAATTTTCAGTTAAGGCCACCAACCCACAGTTGTACTCTTTGATTAAACCTAACAAACCTCCACCCACATATAACATTGACAACATGCTACGCCAACACGGCCATAACGTCTTGAGATTACCACTGTACCACTGTGATCTCAACCCAATCGAACTTATCTGGGGAGACCTTAAAAGTACAGTGACCCGGAAAAATCAATCATTCAAGTTGAATGATGTCAAGCACATCGTCAACACTGCTATATGTGACATTGACATTGCACGCTTGCATGCATGTGTTGAACATGTCAAGAAGGTGGAGAAAGAGTACTGGCTCAAAGATGGCTTGAAGGAGCAATCAGTTAATCCAGTTGTCATTTGTCTGGACACTGATGACTCCTATGTGGAAAAATGGAGTGAACCTGATGAAGTTTAATTCTGTTATTATATTAACAGATAATACTAGTATCCAGCCAGATATGCTCAAAGAAATATAACTTCTTTAACAATGACAGCACTGACTAATTCCAACGACTTAAAGTGTAAAATGAAACACTCATTTCACATAAAATTATCATGAAAATATAAATATTAACTATCTATATGCTTAAAGCTATTAGAAATGCATTGCTTAATTTGGAATGTGAACGACATCAAAACACAACACTTTTGTCTTCATTCTATCTTTTCTTCAATGAGTGAGCATGATTGAGCGTGCTTGTGTCCGAGGGAACGGGGCTTTAACAGTTGTTGAGTTCTAACCATAGGTGGTCCGATTACTGATTTAGTGTAAATATACTTTCTGTGTTCTTTAAATGCATTTCCATTTAGGTACTGCATAAACAAAATATGACATTAACATTACAAATTTAAAGTTTTTAACCTACAGAATAATTCTCACAAATGGGTTTTGTGGTTAATGTTGAACAACTCAGAGAAACAAACTCCGAATGATGGTTAACAGTTGGCACCCACCTTACCCTTTTCACGACCTGTGACACCTCTTCATACCTGTCACGTGCATAGCTGACCTACATTGACGAACGTTGAACTTTATGACCCAACACTGCCGCTATTACAGGTCATTGGCTCCCTCCCGTTCTGCTGTTTGTTTTGTTGACAGTTACATAGACAGATTCTTTAATACAAATGCATAAAATCGGTGATTTACAATGTGATTAGGTTGTCTGACAAAACATCCACTTGCACAGTTTGAGATCGATTGGATCATTGGATGAAGAGATATTTACAAAAAACCGGGTCCACATGCATTTCATGCCAAACTATAGCTTACACAAACATTACTAGTAACAACAATTCATAAACCACCAAAAATTGTGCAACTACAAATACAGATAGAGTGAGTGAGTTTGGTTTTATGCCGCCTTTGGCAATATTAAAGCAATATCACGGCGGGGAAACCAGAAATAGGTGTCACACATTGTGCCCATCTGGGAAATCGAACCCGGTTTTTCGGCGGGACGATCGAACGCTTTGACTACAAGGCTAGCCTACCGCCCTTAAATAGCTAGACGTGAGAACAAACACTCGATGATACGATGCTGAATGCTTTTCATTCAACCTTGTTTTTTTTGTCCAGATACAAAGAACTGCACGTGCTGTCATCGCGAAGGGGAGAGAACTCCAGCGACTGTGTGGTGCTCGGTATGCGATGACGCCTTGTGTGATGTATGTGCTGGGGCACACAGCCGCATCTCATCCACTCGTCATCACGATACAACTGCCCTGACTAGTGAAGCCATTATCCCCAGGAAACGAAACCTCAAGTGTAAAGAACACAAGGATGAAAACATCAAATTCCTGTGCAAAGATTGCAAGAAAGTCACCTGTCACACCTGTTGTGTTATCTATCACAGGAAATGTGAGTCAGTCGTCACACTGGAGTCGGAATTACCTGCATTAAAGTCTCAGCTGTTGAATAAGAAGGAAACTATTTCGAAGAAGCAAATCCAAATGGAAGCAAAAGTTCATGCTGTTAAAGTGAACGTCGTTTCTGAAAAAGATCGATATGCCAGAATGGAACATGACATCAAGTCTTTTGGTAACAACGCGAGAGAGAAGATAACTCTTATGGAAAATATACTTCTAGATGAACTGAAAGAAGTTTCTGAAAAGCACATTGAACAACTGACAGCCGACCTAAAGTCGAGTGAAATATCAGTACAGATGTACCGACAACAAACTGAGCTGATAGACCAGATTCTACAATCCGAGTGTGACATGGACGTGTATGAGATGTATCAGGGATGTGAGGCCGGTGATGTGGATGCTGTCGGAGACGAAGACGTGAAGAAGAGGGGTAGAATAGCCAGGATCATGTTCAGACAGAACGAAGACATGCTGAGTAGAGCTCTGGACGATCTACAGCTGGGTGAGATAGATGTCCAGTATGACGGTTTGGTGAACTTGGAGGCAACACCTGTATCTCAAGACACCAGTAACGTACTGGAACTGAAGGGTGCTCGTGTGTCACAAGACACTGGTAATGTGCTCGGCCTGAAGGCTGCTCCTGTGCCACAAGACACTGGTAACGTGCTGGACCTGAAGGCTGCTCCTGTGTTACAAGACACTGGTAACGTGCTGGACCTGAAGGCTGCTCCTGTGTTACAAGACACTGGTAACGTGCTGGACCTGAAGGCTGCTCCTGTGTCACAAGACCCTGGTAACGTACTGGACCTGAAGGGTGCTCGTGTGTCACAAGACACTGGTAATGTGCTCGGCCTGAAGGCTGCTCCTGTGCCACAAGACCCTGGTAACGTGCTGGACCTGAAGGCTGCTCCTGTGTCACAAGACACTGGTAACGTGCTGGACCTGAAGGGTGCTCCTGTGTCACAAGACACTGGTAACGTGCTGGACCTGAAGGCTGCTCCTGTGTCACAAGACACTGGTAACGTGCTGGACCTGAAGGCTGCTCCTCTGTCACAAGACACTGGTAACATACTGGACCTGAAGGCTCCTCCTGTGTCACAAGACCCTGGTAACGTGCTGGACCTGAAGGCTGCTCCTCTGTTACAAGACACTGGTAACGTACTGGACCTTAAGGCTTCTCCTGTGTTACAAGACCCTGGTAACGTGCTGGACCTGAAAGCTGCTCCTGTGTCACAAGACACTGGTAACGTGCTGGACCTGAAGGCTGCTCCTCTATTACAAGACCCTGGTAACGTGCTGGACCTGAAGGGTGCTCCTGTGTCACAAGACACTGGTAACGTGCTGGACCTGAATGCTGCTCCTGTGTCAGAAGACCCTGGTAATGTACTGGACCTGAAGGCTGCTCCTGTGTTAAAGGACTCCATTAACGTTAGGGTAGCAGGAGGCCAGTATGAAGTATACCCTGCTGACTTAACAGTGTTGGCGGTGAATGGTACAGACACATTGGTTGTAACAGACTACACCAACAACAGTGTGAAGTCCTTCTACACCAGGAACAAACAACGAAGTCACAGCAAGCTCCAACTGGGATGGTCTCCGTGGGGTATAACAAAGCTGAAACACAACCAGGTGGCCGTCACTGTAACGGATACCAGACAGATTGTAACAGTTAAAGTGAACCCTGATCTGGTACTGCTGTCGACCATCACAACCAGCAAACAGTACAGGGGTATAACGTCTCTGACACCATCAACACTAGCAGCAGGTTCTGATAGTGATAAATATGTGGATATTCTGGACATGAGAGGAAACGTCCTGAAGTCGATGAACGCTGTAGTTAGCGGAAAAGAAATGATACATTATCCTTCCTTTCTTTGTACAACAAGAACAGGAAACATCCTTGTGTCGGATGGCGGTTCGAAGTGTGTCCTGTGCCTGACAGCTGAAGGGGACGTTGTGTTCACCTACCCTACACCAGGACGCACAACACTGAGAAGTCCACTTGGTATCACAAGTACCAGCACTGGTGACATCCTGGTTACTGACTACTATCAACACACTGTTGTTCATCTCACTGAGTCAGGACAGTTTGTCCGAAACATACTCACTGCAGATGATGGTGTCTCGTACCCGCACGGAGTTTGTGTAGGTGGACGTGGTCGTGTGTATGTTTGTAATTACAGTTCAGGTGAAATCAAAGTATTCAGTTTCAGTAACACAAAATAGACCTTTGATTCTTTCTCAAGTGATCATTGCATCTGTAAATATTCCAATTAACTACATTTACAACGACCTCCTGACTGTAATGCACTGTGTGTCTGAGTATATCTAATATATAGTGTGAATGAGTATTTCTGACTGCATAGTGTGAATGAGTATATATCATGTATAGATTGACTAAGTATATCTAATATACTGTGACTAAGTATATCTATCTAATATACTGTGTGTCTGAGTATATCTCATGTATAGCGTGACTAAGTATGTCAAATATTCTGTGTGTCTGAGTATATCTAATGTACAGTGTGTCTGAATATATCTAATGTACAGTGTGTTTGAGTATATCTAATGTACAGTGTGACTGAGCATATCTAATATACCTAGTGTCTGAGTATATCTAATGTACAGTGTGACTGAGTATATCTAATGTTCAGTGTGTCTGAGTATATCTAATGTACAGTGTGTCTGAGCATATCTAATGTACAGTGTGTCTGAGTATATCTAATATACTGTGTGTCTGAGTATATCTAATATAATGTGTGACTGAGTATATCTAATATACTGTGTGTCTTAGTTTATCTCATGTGTTGCGTGACTAAGCATAACTAATATACTGTGTGACTGAGTATATCTAATGTACAGTGTGTCTGAGTATATCTAATGTACAGTGTGTCTGAGTATATCTAATATACTGTGTGACTGAGTATATCTAATGTACAGTGTGTCTGAGTATATCTAATGTACAGTGTGTCTGAGTATATCTAATATACTGTGTGACTGAGTATATCTAATATACCTGAGTATATGTAGTATATTGTGTGTCTGAGTATATCTAATGTCAATGTGACTGAGTATATCTAATATACCGTGTGACTGAGTATATCTATTATACTGTGTGTCTGAGTATATCTTATATACCGTGTGTCTGAGTATATCTAATATACTGTGTGTCTGAGTATATCTTATATACTGTGTGTCTGAGTATATCTAATGTACAGTGTGACTGAGTATATCTAATATACTGTGTGTCTGAGTATATCTAGTTATGTGACAGGTCTAACCACCTCGAATCAATCTAACAGATAGTTTGAAAGTGGAGAGTGCATCCGTTGACATCATTAGGTGTCGACAATCTGAAATGTTTAATTGTTTAATGGCAGCCATAATTTTACTGTCTTCCTTCAACTCACAAACAGCAAATCGTAAAATGACAAACTTCAATACAGTGATCTTCAACCGTTTGGTCAGTTCAAAGGTCTGTTCCTTCACATATAAAACACTTCAAAAACAGATTTGTTCACACCTATCAGTATGATACAATTCAATACACTTGGTCCAGGTTTACAATTCTTGACATATCTATACATTGTTACATGTAGTGAATGTTCATTCCCCTTTCATGTCTTGGCTCTTTGCTTCTCCCCCCACATTCTGTCCACGCCAAGTCCCATCAATACATGATTACCCACTGAACTGTATCACCATTCTCTTGTAATAAATGTCATCGAACTATTTTCCAACAGTCAAATCAAATTACATTATCCTTTAAAGACTGCAGCAACTCCTCTTATCACCTGCTGTCTTAAATAGAACTGTGGTCACATGTAATGATGTCTCACGGACACGTCTCCATAATTATGGGCAGGAGACACATCTTAACGAAACATTCACTGAAAAGAGGCTCCTGGATCAATGTAAAGATCAGGCTCACTCAAACTAGACTTGAATGTGGTCCCATGATGAACTCCTCCCTGGTGAGTATTTTAGTTGACTTTTGAATCCCAACCTATGACCTGGATAACATTTTGATTGGTTGATTGGTTGAGTGGTTGGTTGAATGAGGGAGTGGGCAGTGCTTTGGTTTACCCAAGGAATAGAATCAAGTTTGAAACTGCTTTGAACCCATGAACATATTTTTTACAATCAACTGGACCACTTCCATCCCAATGACAACAGAACGCAAGGTCAACACAGTCGTTTCATTTTAAGTATGTATCACGACTGAAAACAGCTGTGTAGATCATGACTGAAACACATCTGATGTAACAACTGTTCCTTCTGCATGGCCGTGGATGATATATAATAGAAGGCCAGTAATATGTTGTCAGTCTTGCAGTCACACTTACCTCCATTGAGGATAAAGGACTTCGGGCCTGAGTCAGTCCCTGAAAAGTACTTCAGTCATTCCAAAGTCTGTGACTTGATACAGGAAAACCGTTTCAAGGTTTGTAACTCAAACATGTAGAATTTTGAACTGACCATAAACACTCAGAACTAGAAATAACACCGGGAAATAACATTTATGAGGTACTTATGTTCAACCTTCAAAAGGTAATAGTTTCAGTCTATAAATGTGGTTCTTGTCAAGTTTTGGACCATTCCAGCAATATAATGACCGTTGGTACCAGCGATTGTCTTCACACATTCGAGTGAACGGCTTTACCATGAGGCTACCTCATTACGCAGTGCCAGTTATGGCAACAAGGATTATAACATTTATATCAATGATAAACATGGTCTTGTTAATGCACGAGGATGTTGTTACAGTAGAGATGAAGATTTTTTCACGCCATGATATACAGTTATCATTCTGGCGTATTCACTGTCGTGTTTTCAATAATATATCACAAATTGACAGACGGATGTTCTCACTATCATTTTCAAGTAAAACACGTAACACTGCTGGCTCCTAAAAAGTGCATAAATGCGTTGAAATGGACAGTGTGTAACGTGTTTCATCGCTGCGTCTCTGACATTGGGTAAATTTTGCTTGGTCAATATACCTTAGACGCTGCATTAAATTTGTATGAACCCATAGGGACTATTGATTAGCATAGGTTCCCAGCAACCTAATTTGTGATAAGAGGCGATTAATGGACCAGGTGTTCTAGAGCCGCATGAGCGTTGCTCATCGTGTCATTCACTGGATAATTTGGGTTGTTATCTGTATATACTCTGAACTTTGAACTGTTCAGTACTTGCCTACTTCAAAGCTAGAAACTCAAGACGATGTCAAGAATATTTTTTCTCAGCTTTGTTATTGAGTCCTCTGCTGACATACGCAATAGAAGAAAGTTACCCAACAGCCGTGGATATGGGGATCTGTACAAGGCATTCCATCACTTCAAACAGCTTCAAACCTACGCAGATTACTATTTAAGCTCCATGCAGATGCCAGTACACGTGGACTAGGGGCTGTTCTCTGTCAAGGGCAGGATGGACAGAAGCGAGTTATTGCGTATGTCAGCAGAGGACTAAATAACAAAGCTGAGAAGAAATATTCCCGTGAAGAGCCACCTCCTCGTGGTGGGTGCTGGGTAACGCTAAGAGCCCTTCAACCCCCCCGCTGTTGACCCGGGGGGAATATTTAGTCCACCAAACTGTTTTCCGTGGCTTGCGCCCCTGTGTCGGTGGAGGACGGGAGTCTGGTGGTTGAGGGCAGTGGTTCCAGGAATAGCGTTCCTTTGCCCAACACACCACTTTGCCCCTGACTTCACCTAGACGGGTGGTAGAACTGGCCCGGTTCAACCAATCGGCTGGTCATGCCATGCCCTGTGCATTGTATTTGATACTGCACAAATTTGACTTTTGTAAATGATCCTGTTTGGGGTACAGTGAGACCTCGGATACCCGGACCCCAGATATCCGGAAACCTCGCCTTCCGGTCAATTATAGGTAAAATTATTTCACTGAATATGTATTGGTTCAAAATTTCAACAATTGAAAATATGCCTAGAGTCCTATGCCAGAAGGCGGTGGCTCATGGGCCAATCTTGTGGATTAATTATTTTTAATTATTCTGCTGGAGTATATCATCCAAGTATCCTTGGTGCTGCAAGAAGGAAAGCCACTTGCTATTAGCATTGTCTTTGTGATTGTCCGTGGTGGGCGGGGAGCTTCGATGACGAAACACTATACTAACAAGCATGGACTATCACACTCCCTCAAAAATCACATCAAACGTCCACTTGAAAATGATGATCAGGAACGACCCTCTGTATCTATTGATTATTGGCCACGGTTTTTGGTTCTTGAGACTCTTGATAAGACTCCTATCAAACTAAATTTCTTTGCAATATCTAAAGGTATCTCTGGCAATAGCAGGAGAAGTCAAAAACAGCAAGCGCTTGCGAAATGGTTCACTGTTAATCGAATGTAACAGAAAACAACAAGCGACAAACCTATTATCAACTGATGTGTTTGTCGGAGCCCCGGTTCTGGTTTCAGCTCATAGAACATTGGATACCAGGAAAGGTATTGTCCGAGACTGCGAGAATCTCCTTGCAGACATGACTGAGCTCGATATTGTTTCTGAGATGAAAGACCAAGGAGTAACATACGTCAAAAGATTTACAACCCGAAGAAATAATGAGACTGTTCAATCAAGGCAGGTTACTGCAACCTGAACGTTGATATATACATTCCAAATCCTCTACGCTGCTTCAAGTGCCAGAAATACGGACATGGTGTTACGAATTGCACATTGTCTGTTACATGTGCTCTCTGTGCTGAGAATACACATGTAACGGAAGATTGTGATAGCAATTATAAAAAATGTGCCAACTGTCATGGAAGTCATTCGTCATTTTCCAAAGATTGTCCAATTTGGAAAAAGCAAATGGAAATAAACAGAATCAAATTTTCTCAGAACATCAGTTTTGCTGAGGCCAAAAAGATTGTACAATCTTCCGTACAGACAGAAACGTATGCCTCCGTCACCAAAACACCGGAAACATCTTCAAAGGGCCCTTCTACACCCGTGATCACTTCGTCACACTCCTGTCAGACTGATTTGACATGGATGAATACGGATCATCCAGAACTTATCTCTCCTGGACAGTCTACTCAGATAGCACCACGTACTACCCAACAGATCGAATTGTCTACTTCTACTCAGTCTCGAGATCAATCTGAAAGGAATGAAAAACAAACTGTCAAATCAAACTCCAAAACAAGAACAGAGGCTACCAAACCAATCGAGCCCCGAAGGGGCAGATAAAAAGATAAAATTATATAATAATAAATTTGGATCAATGGAAGAAATGGAAGTGTGTGATAACATCCATCCCAGGGCACATAGCTTGTCGCCCTCAAAGAAAGTGCGGGGTAGATCCCAAATCAACCCACCAAAAAGATACTGTATTCCACAGTGGTAGTACAGTGGAATTGTAGAGGATTAAAGACAAATTTTAATGAGTTACATCTTTTAGTTCAAGATCTGGCACCATCAGCATTCTGTCTACAGAAAAC